CAATCTGAACTACCAGAGGAGATCTCAAATGTTCCCTGAGTCATAGACGGCATTTGGAGACAGAACTTTCTCATAAACAAAAGAAGTTATATTATATAACGAGTCACTGTGCTGAATTATAAGGGAACCAGAGGTTAGCAGTCATATGAAATAATCGATTTATCCATTAAATTGCCCCCAATTTAAAATTTAATCATCCTGTTATTTCAAATAGGATCTGTTTTAGTCAATTTATTTATTAGATAACAATTTTGAGTTTCATTAGTTTAGAGCTATTTTTCTTCCCTTTTATCAAAATAAACTATAAAAACATGGTATAAATTGCTTAACACTGACCTCTGTCACCAACAATAAATGTTTCCTCTATAGACTATCAGAAAAAAAGTACAATGCACCTTCAAAGGTCATTTTTCAATGAAATAAAGTTGAACCAAAAATAAGTAGGAGTGAAGCTGGACTTAGTAGACATTGATCTGGAGCCAGAGCCCTGAGTAAAGTAGAGAAGACCCCTGTGGCTGCATATTTGGGAATTAGCCAGAAGGTTTACTTTCCTATATACAAAAGCAAAAATTCTGATTTGAGAACAATTGGATGGGGGTACTAGTGGCAAAGCTTCCCTGGATTCATTTGGTTCTGTAAGAAGCAGAAAAATATGGATTAAACATGAAATCACACAGAAAATCTATATTTACAGGAAGCAGTCTCTGTGGCAGCAGAATCAAGGGACAAGAGAGCTGAGAAACTCTGTATTAGGAATGACCTCCTTTGATTGGCTGTATTAAAATTTAAGTTTAATGAACCCAGACCCCAAATCCTGCTAGCCCAGAAAAGGGCCCTGGCTTCTCTCTTAACACTGATATCACCAAATTGAAAAATTGAAAAATTAAAAAAATTTAAAAAAAAAAAAAAAAGAACTTGCAAAAATGGAGATCCTACTCAAGCTAACAGCAGTATTTGATGTATCTGCATCCTTTGACCCTGGAGAGAACTCCCTCTTTGAAACAGTATTTTCACTTAATTTTCAGGATAACATTTTCTGATCCTCCTCCTTTATCACTGGTTGCTCTTTTTCAGTCTCCTTTATTGTAGAGTTCAAGAGTTTAGTCCTTAGATATAGTTTCATCTCTAGTGACACTCCCCATATTCTATTGTCCACTTTTAAAGGCTTTAAATACTACATATATGCAGATGAAATTTGAATTTACATTTTCAACTCACACTTCTCACTGTATTTCATATTTAATATGTTTAACAAGTTAAAACTTCACATTTAACATGTCCAAAAGTAAGTTATTTTTGTCTCCTCAGACAGCTTTTTTCCCTTAGTCTCTTTCATCGAAATAAATGGAAACACCACATTTCCATTGGCTCAAAACAAACAAACAAAATACATTATCTTGACTATTCCCTTCAGACTCCACATACAATTCATAAACAAATCCTGACACTGCACTTTCCAAATATATTAAAAATGTGACAATTTTATGCCATTTTAACCACCACCACCCTGGTCCAAGCCAGCATTATGATTCACCAGCATCATAGTGCTACTCATAACTCTTCCCTGCTCTTCATTCTCAAAACAGAGCCAAGAGTCACAAAGTAAAACTCTTCTACTCAAAGTTCTCCAACAGCATGTGAGGAAACACAGTCTTTGCAGTGGTCTAGCAGACTCTAAATGACCCAGGACCCTACTTTCTCTCTGATCTCGTCTTGCCCTTTTTTCTTTAGCTGGTTTTATTTCAACTACATTAAATTCCTTGCTGCTCTTTGAACACACTGAACTGCTACTGTAATTCCCTCTGCAGGTAATGATTTAATCTCAGATATCCATGGAAGTCTTCCTCTTCAATTTTTTTAGGTCTTTTCTTAAATAGCACCATATCACAGCAACTCCCACAGGCTACCTTAAAATAGCATCCCACATTTATCACCCACTGTATTATATATCCATTTTTTTCTTTTTTTCTCCCCCACCCCATTCTTCCTAAAATGTAATGTTCTTTAGGGCAGAAGAAGTATATTTGCTGTCATATTCCTTGTGCTTAGACAATACCTGGTGTTTACTAGATTCTCAAAAAAAATGTTTAATGAATACCAGATGCAATAAAATATGATAAAATAAATAAAGGTAAATATGTCAAAAAATTATATGCACAATCGACATTAAGTGAGATTTAATTTCAAGTCAAGTTTGTGAATAAATTAATGTACCAGGTACCTGACTGAGTTGACTCTTAAGTGAGGAGAATGATATGAGAATAATCCAAGTTAGCATTCAGTCTGTGATGTCAATGAATTAGCATATATGCAGTTCTAGAGATATTCTCCTAAATCTTATACCAATGGATAACAATAATATGAATCATTAAGTGGAAGCTCATCATTCTTCAGCAATAAGAAAAAAGTAATAAGTTTTAGGGCTATAATAAGGTAAGAATAAGATAATAATTTGTATTTTAAATTGTTTCAACCAAAATAAACTAAAAAATTCAAAATATGGAGAAAATTCCATACACTCTAATTTGCAGTGGCAGAGAAGTAAAAGGGCTATTTATATGCATATATAAACAATAGTAGCAAATATTTAAACCATTGATTTATATTGTGCACTACTTTGTCAATTGATTAATTAAATGGTTAAAAACTATTACCTGACCTTTTCCTATGTGTCCTGCACCTAAAAATGGAAAACCATGTCCTTCCCTTAAACCACAGGAAAATGTAAATTAATGCTTTGAAAGAAGCCTGCAAAAATCAATTAATGAAATCCATCACATCAATGGGCTAGACACGAAAAATCATGATGATATAAATAAACACAGAAAAGCCACTTGACAAAATCCAACACCCATTCATTACAAAAACTCTTGGTAAACTAGATATAGAGGAGAAATTCCTCAACTTGATAAAGAATATCTACAAAAAAACTTAGAACTAGCATTATAATTTACAATGAAAAATTAAAAGCTTTTTCACTAATATCAGAAACAAAACAAGAATGCCCTCTCTTACCACTGCATTTTGACCATACTGGGCATCCCAGCAAAAAATCAAAAAAAGAAAATTAAAGGTGTACTGATTGGAAAGAAAGAAACGAAACTGTTTTTATTCACAGATGACATGATCATCTATGAAGAAAATCTGAAAGAAGAAGAAAAGAAAAAAAAAGCCCTAGAACTAAAAAACAATTATAACAAAGTTGCAGGATATAAGGTTAATGTACAAAAGTCAATCTCTTTCCTTAATTAAAAGCACAATACTATCTACACTATTATCCAAAAAATAAAATACTTAGATATAAACCCACCAAGGTATGTACCTGATCTACATGAGAAAAACTACAAAACTCTGAGGAAAGACGTCAAAGAAAAACTAAATAAATGGAAACATACTCCATGTTCATGGTAGGAATACACAGTGTTGTTAAGATGTCAGTCTTCCCAACTTTGTCTGCAGATTCAATGCCATCTCAACCAAAAAGCCAGCAAGTTATTTTATGAGTATCAACAAAATGATTCTAAAGTTTATATGAAGGGGCAAAAGACCCAGAATAACTAGCACGATATTGAAGATGAACAAAATTAGAAGACTGACACTACCCAACTTCAAGAATTACTATAAAACAATGGTAATCAAAGAGAGCATCGTACTGGTGAAAGGACAGAGAACAGAACAGAAATCCCAGAAATAGACCCACATATAGTGACCTTATCTTTGACAAAAGAGCAAAGGCAATATAATAAAGCAAATGGTGATGGAAAAACAGGACATCCACATGCAAAAAAAAAAAAAAAGATGAATCTAGAAATAGATTTTACACCCCTCACAAGAAATAACTTAAAATGGAACTTCGACCAAAATGTAAAATTTGAAACTATAATACTCTTAGAAGATAATCTAATAGAAAATCTAGATGAGCTTGGGTTTGGTGATGACTTTTTAGATACGACAGCAAAGACATGATCCATGAAAGAAATAATTAATTAGCTGGACTTCATTAAAATTAAAAACTTCTGTTCTGTAAAGACACAGTAAGCAGAATAAAAAGACAAGCCGTAGAGTGAGAGAAAATATTTACAAAAGATACATCTAATCAAGGTCTATTATCTAATATATGCAAAAAACTCTTAAAACTCAACAATAAGGAAACAAACAATCCAATTTAAACACACTGAATTTATATCAGAATAAGCACATTATCAATCTCCTGTGTCCTATTTACAAAATCACTGAATTTATATCAGAATAAGCACATTATCAATCTCCTGTGTCCTATTTACAAAATGACTCCATAGCCACTTTCACTTACTCTTTAATTCAGAAAAGCAGACCACAAATGCATAGTTTCAGACCACAAATCCATAGTTTCAATGCAGCATAAAATGGCTAGAGTGAAAATCATTCATGTCTAGTTATTATGGCAACATTCATTCCTTGGTAAATTATCTTATGCCAAATTCTAGCCATTAATATTTTAGAAATTTAAGAAGACATCTGGAACAGTACAGTGACAGACTCACAACAGTACACTGCAACCTAGAAAGCAAACCATCAAAGATAGACCAAAATTATTGTATATAAACTAAATGTAATGTGATAAAGAACACCTTCCATTGTTGATTGATACAGAGTATCAACAATGTTGTTGCATCCATGTTATTCCAGAAGGTTCCACAGAGATTAATGGGATATTGAACACCTATATTTCTGCCATAACCAGATTATTATATAACTCCTAGGTGCAAAAATAAACATTTCTTTTAGACCTATGGAAACTTCTCAGTACTAGCAACTAATTGAAAATAAACACCTGTATTTCTTGAGTGAAAGGAAAGTTCTAAGGATTAGGAAAAACAAAAATAGTGAAAAGTGAGAAGAATAAGGAAGGTGTCTCTAAATATAATTTCCGTGTTTTAACAACATTTTCCATCTATAAAACATAGCACCATGACAACTTGCCCAAATAATTAATTTTAAAAAAAGAGTACCATTCCTACCTCTCTTTTGTACCAGTTAGAATGAGCATCGTCTTGGGATGATTTTCTGTAATCAATTAATCTTTTCTTCTTAATTTTCTCTAATTCATGGAGATAGACCTGAGGAGAAAACAGCAAACAGAAATGCCTTATTCAAGTGGTCCCTTTAACTGGGAATTCCTTAGAGTCTCTATTCTCCAACAGAGAATGTCCTAGTGTATTTATATCCTGGCAAGTTACACACAGCAGAGTCAATAAGTTTCCATGATAGGTATATTTTTATTATGAAATTCACAGTAATTGAGATTATTTTTATAAAATAGTGATCAGCTAACCAATTATGAAGAAAATAAAAGGCATACATACATTAAAACACACTTTTTTAAAAACACTCATTTAGAAACAGTAATTATAAACTACAAAAAAGATTTAAAAGTCCCTCTTCATACGATGTTTGGAAAGTATATTCTACAATTCAGTACATAATTCAATCATTTTTATAAAAATTATTTTGAATATGTGCTGTATTAGAGAATGTAAAAAGGGCAGCTAAACAGACAAATCCCTTATAACTGTACTTATTAGCATAAACACATGCATGAAAATCATGTACAAATATCAAAGATTGCTTTAACATTAGAGGGAGTAGTCTTTGTGCAGTCAGAAAAAAAGGAGAGCATTGTGAGTTACAAGTTCAGGCAAGGTGAAAGGCAATAAAGTTATTTTCCAGATCCAAGGAATCCATGACACTTGAAGATTACTTTTTCACAAGGTGAATAATTTCTGTCTGATTTTTGTAATTTCTCCAACACTTCAGAAGATGTGTGGGCCCATATTCCCTCATGGATATTTTGATTTAGACACCTCACATTTTATAGCCTTTTCATAGAAACACACATGCAGAGAAAATGCCTAAAGCACTGTTAGAATATACCCATCTTATTTCAATCTGTAATGTTACCAAAGGTTAATTTGAAAAGGGACTTCATTTTAATTGCTTTAGAATATTAGGACAACCAATGTTTTGGAGAGTTTTTCTTAGACACTTAATTTATGAAAAAAATCTCAATTTAAAAATCATGCAAATGTAAAATTCAAATGTTTCTATTGCTTTACTCTTTTAAAAATTATATTTAAATTTAAAAAAATATCACTTACTTATAAAAATGACAAACAATACAAAGGTTTATTAGGTAAAGCTTACATGTCCTGTTTCACCAGTCCCCAATACAGTCTTTTCTGTTTATCAGAGACAGTATCTAAATAACCGTCCAGGTCTTTTTTCTATCTACTTGCACACACCTTTATGCAGACAGTCATACAGATTTTTTGAATAAAAATGAGATCATACTATAGACATTTTTTGGCAAATTAAAAGTAAATCCCTGTGGAACAACAACAACAAAATGAATATATTTTCACCAAAAAAATGAATATACACAAATTTACCTCATTCTTTTTTAAAAGGTACAGAGTATTTTATAATACAGATGTACTAATATTTAATTAAGTATTTCCTGGAGATGGACACATATGTTGCTTTTGAAAATTCCTCTTAAGCTGTTTACCCTGAATATTCTTATGCAAAAGTAGCTGAGCACACGAGCAAGTATCTCTGAAGTTTGAATATTTTTAAAAGGTTTCTAATCCAAGGTATGTGCATTTAAAGTTTTGATAGTTATTCACAAATAGACCTTAAAAAGGATTTATATTTTATATTTTTATCAGAAATGTATGAAAATACACATTTCCCCTTATGTTCAATACTAAATAGCATCAATCCTTTATTTTTTTCAATATGATATGTAAGAAATGGTACTCATTGACATGAAACATTTTACCCTTCACTGATTTTCAATGAGTCTGAACATTTTTTCAGGTACTTATTGACCATTTGTGTGGCCTATCACATAACTAGATATATCAATTATCTATGTATGTTCAGTCCACTTTGCTCCTAAGTTGCTTGGGGATTTTATATGGATTTCTAAAAGCTATTTATATATAATGGATGACATTTTATTTAGTAGGTATTTTTAAGGTATTTATTCTCAACCTGTATCTCATATTGCACTGTGTATAGTTCACTAAGCTGATTTGAAATTTCGTATTGCCAAATCCACCAATCTTTTTGCTTTATAGTTCAAAACTTCACCAGAAATAGAAAGCCTATCTTGTGCCTAATTATGAAACAATTTTCTTATATTCCAATCTATGTATTCACATTTTTTTCACACAGGTTATTTTAACATCTTCAATTTTTGTTACAGTATTATCCCAGGGGTTTAGTATTATTTTTTTGATTCAAATAGATAGCTAACTTTTCCAAAAGCATTTATTTAGTTTATGTTTTCTCTTCTGCTATAATCTTTCAAAAATCTGAGTTTTCTTTGGCCTGATTTGAGTCCATTTTATTAATATATTTACATTTCCTCCTTAATTGTACACTTATTGTGCCTTAATTTATTAACCAGTCTGCAAGAATAAAAAGTTTGTCCACAATTAAGCAGCACTCATAGTGAAGAAAAGACAGACAGACATGCATACACAATCCGTTGTTTTCAGTTCAAACCCTGGGATAAAATGTCATGAAGTTTACATGACCTATCGTAAATTGAATGTGCATTTACATCCAATCATATAAATGTGAGATATTTAAAATAACATAAAATACGTTCAGTCACTATTGCTCTATAGAACAACTCTAAAAAAAACTGTTGATATTTTCCAAAATGTCAAAGTTAATATTTGTCACTACAGGTCTCTGAACAACAAATTTTAAAGGGAAACGGGGAAAGCAAGCCAGCAATCAATTCAATACACTTGTACATCCCACTGCTGTGCGGAGACGTTCATCATTTTGCAGCGAATATACTCGGCATCCTGCTTCTACCAGGGGGCATTATTGAGTCCATCAGTGAACATTAAAGGAAAAGCAAATTGTAGGCTAGAGAATTAATAAGAGGAAATGAGAGAGAAGGAAAACATTGTTCTAATCATTCTTTGAGTCCTTATAATTATGAAGTTAAATGATTCCTTGAGGGTTTTTGTGGTGATAGCCGTATAATGAAGAGGGGGTGGCAGATTAGGTTAAGATATGTTGTTTATGAGCTTGTATACAAAGTAAATTTAGAAAAAAGTAGCAAGAAAATGATTTCTTTTATAGAGAAACATCATTTTTATTTCAGTCTAGCAAATCAACATTTGTTTATTAAGAGAAAAGTTGTAACTAGAAACCCTTTCCAAAGCAATTTTGAGCAGTTGTATAGGAAATAGGAATGAACTTATTATTTTGGTCATTAAAAGAATCGGACCCTTGAAGGTGTCTTCTCCAGATGTTTATTATTATTATTGTTATTACTATTAAAGTTAAATGCCTTTGGTATTGTTCTTTATAGAGTGGTTTAATCCCATTTTCAAACCCTACAATCACAGTTCCTAAGACTCAGTAACTAGTTGGAAAAAAAAAAAAACCAACCTACTCTTAAAAATAAGTTTAAGACCTTATCCAAACTCTGCCATCAGCCCATTCCTTAAGCTCATTTGCATATATCAATAAATATTTGTCAACATTTGTATTTTTTAAATAAGATGGAAGTGAAATTTACAAAGCACAAAATTAACTATTTTAGAATTCAGTGGCATTTAGTACATTCACAATGTTGTATAACTACCACCCTGTCTAGTTCCAAAACATTTCATCATTCCAAAGTGAAAAAGAAAAAAAGATTCCACTACCCTTTAAGCAACTTACTCCCCATTCCCTCCTTCTTCTTTTCTCCGGCAACCAAAAATCTGTATTCTGTATCTATGGATTTATCTATTATGGGTATTTCATATAAATGGAATCATACAATATGGGACCTTTTGTGCCTACTTTCTTTCATTTTGGAGGTTCTTCTACATTGTAGCGTATATCAGTACTTCATTCACCTCTATGTCAGAATTACATTCCATTGTATGTATATACATTAATTCATTTATCCATTCATCTGCTGATAGACGTTCATGCCATTTCCACCTCTTAGCTATCATGAATAGTTCTGCTATGAACATATGTACATATACTTGTTTGAATGCCTGTTTTCAAAATTCTTTTTTGTAGATGCCTACAAGTGAAACTGTAGGGCCATATGGTAATTCTATGTTTAACTTTTGAGGAACCACTAACCTCTTTTACACAGAGGCTGAACCATTCCTAACAGCAATTTATGAGGGCTGGGTTCCAATTCTTACACATTCTCACCAGCAGTTGTCACTCTCCTTTCTTTGCTATTGTTGTTGCTCTTTTGGTGTGTGTGTGTTCTTTTAAAATATATAGACCCTAAGTGTTAGTGGGTATGAAATGTACCTCACTGTGGTTTTCACTTGCATTTCTCTAATAACTCATGATGTAAGCCATCTTTTCATGTGTTTATTGGCCATTTATATATCTTTGGAGAAATGTCTATTCAACATTTGTATTCACAAGCTCCATGAAATGGAATGCAAACTTTTAAAATTGAGTTTCTCTGCCATAATTCTTCAAATGTTCCTTTATCCTAGGAGCAAAAAGGGCTCTCACTGTTTTATTTTAGATGATTTGAGGCTAATCAGGAAATTGTGCATGCTAAAAAAGGTTTTACCCTTTCTGCCCATGCGGTGAAATGGAGATGTAATTAAAGGAATTTAAGTCATAAGTGAATGGTAACAACAGCTGAGTGACAACTAATGTGGCATAAAATCTAGCAAATGGCCTTTTCTTTTCCTTAAATTTCAGTTGCCCTGAGGCATGTCTCACTTCACAGTCAGAGCAGAACAAACAAATTCTGCTGAAGTCTACCTTCACATATCCCTAGAAAGTCAATACTGACTAGGTATACGGAGAAGTTTCTTTGTCATTAATGAAGTGAATATCTTAAACAAAAGTTAAGTCACATCACAGATCTAAAATGCCTATGAAAGACAAGCTTTCTTATATTTCTCTTCCTCCCAAAATTCTATTTGTATTATCTAAAATAATTCTGGCTTCCAAGTTGACTTAATGACTCTTCTAAAGAAGCAATCTTAATTGGTTTTGAAAATAACCTCTAATAGGCCTGTTTTTATTTTTTTATTAAAAATATAGTTATAAGCCTAGA